CGGTGGCGGTGGTGGCGGCGCGGGGGCAGCGGGCGCGGGCGCCCGTGGTTGGCAAGGTCGCCGCGCGCTGAGTGCTGACTGAAAACGAGCGCCGGCTCTGGTGCGGGCTGCCCGGTTGTATTTCCCCTGTTCACCTGCCTGCGCCTGCCGCCTGTGCCGCAGCGCGCGCCCGCCCTAACGAAGCCCGGCGGGCCGGCCTCAGCCGCCGCCGCCGCTCTGTGCGCAGCCTCTCTTGAGCCACGCAGATGCGCGGGCCCCGCCCGCGCTTTGTGCGCGGCCCCGGCCTCGCCTGCGCCCGCTCTTGTTCCCTTTGCACCTAGCCTCACTAGCGGCCCCCTGGCCCTGCGAATTAAAGGGGCCCCCTGTTGTTGCCCGCCGCGGCCACTGCAGGCGTACCATCCTTTGATTAGATGCGCCCCTGTCTGCGTGCACGCGCCATTCGCGGCCGCGGCGGGGCGTCGCTGTAGGGCGATCCGCGCGCGAGCGTAGCAACTCGGGTGACGGCGCGACAGGCGCTGGCTCGGGCGCTGTAGAGGCGCGCCCCACCCTTGCATATGCGAGCAGCCAGGCAATGCGGCGCGCGGGACAGCAACGCGCGCGGCTCCTCGCCCCCCTTGTGCCGATGGCGCTGGCTGTTTTCTTCTTTCTTGACCATATGGTATGCGGCGTTTGCTTTTGGCGCCGAGCCGCGGATGGCTCGGGCCCAGAACTGCAGCATTTGTCCTCTGAGCCCCGCTCCTTTGGGTGCATGCTGACGGGAGGGCGAGCCAGGCCCGCGCACACATTTGCGGCCGCTACCGCGCTTGGGCGCGGGCGTGGGTACCCTGCGCGACCGCCCTCTTGAGGCTTCCCTCGGAGGCGGGCTCAACAGCCTGTAGCAATTTCATTCGTCGCGCCGCCAGCCACCTCGCGGCCGCCTGCTGCGCGGCCGATTCAGCAGCCACGCGGCTCGGCGGCCGCTCGGGGCCTGCGCCGGCTTTGTACCCTCCACCCGACGCCCCCGCCAGGCGCGACGCCTGGGCGGAGGCCGTGGCGCACCGCCCGGGCGGCGGCCGCGCGCGCGCCGCGGCGCGCCGCCGGCCCTGGACACACACCCCACACACCCCGCTGAGCAGCGATTGCTCGTCGTTGTGCGGGGCGCGCGCTGCGCCCCGCCCACGACCCCCTCGTTATCTCAACCCCCCACTTTGTTTGTGATTCGGGCGCCGCTGTGAGAGAGGCATCTTGAAAGAGGCATCTTGAAGGAGGCATCCACCCCCCAACCCCTGCGCCGCGTACGCGCCGGGCCTGTTCTTGGCGAATTCGTTGCCCCCGATCGCCGCCCTTTGCTGTAGACTTGCCCAGTTGTTTTGCCACCTTTTTCGCATCAATAGAACCGCGCCTGCACGTTGTGTGGCATTGCTTTGGCTGAGCATGTGCGCCTATCGCCTTTGCTTCTCTGTACGCTAATTCACCCGCCGCACGGCATGCTGCGACGTTGCCCCTGTGCTGGGTGCTCTGCGCTGCGCGCTTAACCGTGCTGTGCAGGTGCTTGGTAGGGCAGGGGCAGGGGCCGCTCTTGAACAGGCCGGAAGCACTCTTGTTTGTCTGCAGGCAGTGCATGGCACGAGGCGGTGGTTGGGTCTGCGCAGGATTACTGCTTGTGCACCCACCGTTGGGGTAGACTTCGCGTTGCTTTTCTGGCGGTATCAGGGACCTTGCTGCTCGCCGACTGCATGACACCTCACCTCAACACCACAATGGCGGAGTCGGAGTCAACACTTCAAGAGCCACAGACACAGAGAGCGCATGCCCACACCCAACAACGCACCTCACCAATGCAGCGGCCGCAAGCTTGACGCGAGTGTAATTGCGACGGACGGTACGTGATTGTAGCAGCAACAGTAGCCGCGCTGCGCAACAGTTTACAAAGTAGCAGCAGCAGCAGCAGCATTCACAGCTGGCTGAAATGGCGGGCATCAAGAGGAATCGATGCTGAGGCGGTCGGTGGTGCAACGAACAGCTTGTGGCTCATCAAAACACCAGCAGTGCTGCGCCACGCCCTTCCAGCCACGCGCAATTCAGCCTCGGGCAGCAAAACGACTCCATGGTCTGTGTGTCTGTGTTGCGTGCAAGCCATCCTGGTTGTGCTGCGTCGGGGTGGGGGGGTACGCAAGCACGTGCGCACATACACACACATGTACACACGCGCCTCGTCGCGACGCACACACGCATGGCTGATGTGCTATGTCACATACATTTCGGAGAGTGCAGGGGCCTGCAGCATCGCACATGCTCTGCCGGTCGGCAGCTTGAGCTCAGCTAGAGGAGGAGCAGCGGCAGCAGCGCAGTGAAATCGAGCAAACGTCACCGTGAGTGCAGTTGCTTCACTGTAATGTACCGTGTTCCCCCAGAACTATTGACACCCTAGGTATCATAATAGGCGAAAAACACAACGGTACCGTAGGCACTCTGAACACTTGTGACGTTCTCAGCTAGGCGATCTGACCTCGTCGGACGAGCTCTTAAGCCCAACAGGGCTTTCGACGACCTTGAACTGTTTTCGTTGTAAGGCTTCACCGGGACGCCGTAGGCTCGCGGGGGCCAGGCCCGTACAGCAGCCAGGATGCGTATCCAGATCAAGGGAGGAATATGGAAGAACACAGAGGTAAGCAATCACTCCGTGGCAGGGCTCACACGCGGGGCTGCCCCTCTCAGGTCGGTGATCCAGGTCTGGCGTGCGTGCTAAGCACACTGCTCGCTATCCCTGCAGGACGAGATTCTGAAGGCGGCGGTTATGAAGTATGGGCTGAACCAGTGGGCCCGCATCTCGTCGCTGCTCGTCCGCAAGTCGGCCAAGCAATGCAAGGCCCGCTGGTGCGCCCGCATCCCTAGCTGCCGCCCGACGCGCGCCGCGCTCCTGCAGCCGACGGGACAGCCTGGTAGCATCAAGGCAGCCGGCAAGCATGCCGCCGGCGCCACCGCCACGGCTCCTGCTCCTGCAGCAGCATGCGTGCCAGACAGCAGACTCCTCTCTCGCAATCTCCCGCCCGGCCCCCTACAACGGGTGCCCTCCTCTTCGGCCCTTTTTTTCTACATTACGTACAAAGGTACGAGTGGCTGGACCCCGCCATCAAGAAGACGGAGTGGACGCGCGAGGAGGATGAGAAGCTTCTGCACCTGGCCAAGCTGCTGCCCACCCAGTGGCGCACGATCGCGCCGATCGTGGGGCGCACGCCGGCGCAGTGCCTGGAGCGGTATGAGAAGCTGCTGGATATGGCGGTCGGGAAGGACGACAGGTGGGAGGGTGGCTGCGCGGGTGTTTGTAGGTGTGGTTCTGGTTTTGTTGATTATTCTTTTTGTAAGTGATGAATGCACGGGTTTCTGCACGTTTGAATTGTGCGTGCACGCGTTTGTGTGTGTGTGTCCATTTGTACATGTGTTTGGTGTGTGTGTGTGTGTGTGTGTGTGTGTGTGAGAGAGAGAGTGTGTGTGTTCGCGCGCATATGTGTGTGTGCGCGTGTGTATTCGCGCCATCGCGTTGCTGGAGGAACTGAGTGCTGTGGGCGGGCAGGGGCGCGGCCCCTGCACGGCGTGCCGACGCCGAGAGGGCCGGCCGCTGGCTCGCTCGCGGTGGCGACGGGGCGGGGCGGGCGTGCGGCCCAACCCGTATGGGATTGCCCTCTGCACTGTGCGCACACCCCAGACAAGTTAAAAAACCCACCCGCACGTGTCCCTCCTTACGCACACAACACACATACACACACACACACACACAAACACACACATACATATACACACACACACACTCACACACACATACATATACACACACACAGGTACGACCCCGCGGACGACCCCCGCCGCCTGCGTCCCGGGGAGATCGACCCCAACCCCGAGTCCAAGCCCGCCAAGCCCGACGCGGTGGACATGGGGGAGGACGAGAAGGAGATGCTGGCAGAGGCGCGCGCGCGCCTAGCAAACACGCGGTACGGCTGCGGCCTCGTGG